TTCTTAAATAACCTCTGACATGGTGAAGAAGTACTTAGAAGAGGACTTAGCAATTTATTAATTAGTTCAATGGTTGTATGAAATGCCTCCCACTAATAAAACAGAGGCATGTTAACTTGAGCTAGCAAGGTTAGCCCCATTTCAACTATATGTCTATGCTTTCTCTCAACTCTACCATTTTGAGATAATGTATGTGGAAAAGAATGTCTGAAATGAATGCCTGCCTCTTGTAAGGTTTGTACAAAACTTCTATATTCTCCTCCCCAATCACTTTGGATAGCTTTGATTTTCCTCTCAAATTGATTTTCAACATATTGTTTAAATTTAGTGAACTTTTGAAGAGCCTCATCTTTTATTTTTAAAGGGAAAATCCAGTTGTATCTGCTGTAATCATCAAGAAAAAGTATATAATAATGATACCCATTTAGAGATTTAATAGGAGAGGGTCCCCATAAATCAGTATGTATAAGGTCAAGAGGATGATGAGCTCGAGAAGTAGACACTTTGAAAGGCAGAGAATGAGATTTCCCAAATTTGCATGATTCACAAAATATAGGTTCTCTATTTCCATTCAGCTTCACATTACAAATACTAATAACTTGATTTAAAACCCTACTATTAGGATGACCAAGCCTACAATGCCAAAGTCTCTTAATGAAATTGGAGTTAGAACTGGTAGTAGTATTATTCTTGTTGTGATCAACTTCTTCAGCCAAGAGAACTTTGTGTGAGCCTCTAAAATTGTGTTGCTTCAACTGTACCTTCTTTGCATCAACTCTATGCAGCCCTTTGTCATTTCTCACCCCTTGAAGTAGTGTTGTTGCTATGTCCTGTTTCTTCACAAGAGTAACGGAAGAGTCAAGAGATACTGTAGCATTGTTATCATTAGAAATCTTAGGAAAACTGAGTAAGTTCTTCTTAGCTTTAGGAGCATAAAGAACATTAGCAAGCATAACAGATTATCTAGGTACATTTTGAATTTTAGAAGAGCCTATTTGTTCAACTCTCATAGGTTGACCATTAGCAATAAACAATTTAATCTTACCATCAGTGTTCACAAGATTGTCAAGTCTAGTTAAATCATTGGTGACATGAGCTATAGCACCAGAATCCAAATACCAAGAATCATCATTAACTACTTCAGGAGAGGCATAGAAGATAGAGTTATGAGCAAATTCTCCACCTTCAAATGAGTATTTGTTATTACTTGGTGGCTTGAAAGATCTGTCAAAACGTTTAAAACAATTTTTGACATGATGCCCAGGTTTGTCACAAAAAGCACAAGGTGTTTTATCACCTTCTCATCCAGATCTGCCCCTACCACGAGAGCCACGGCCTACATGACTACCACGCCAGTTGCCACGAGCTAAATTAGCAGCGGACAAGTTAGTAAACTGAGTTGTAACAGTTCTTTGAGAAATATGAAGGAGTTGGGTCAGCCGAGACTCATAAGTGAGTAAAAAGGCTTGAAACTCTAGCCAGTTCATATCATCTTCTTTTGAGAGTTGAACAATAATGGGGTTATATTCCCCATCTAGTCTAGCTAAAATTTGGAGGAGAAGATCAGCATGAGGCATGGGACTACCAGCAAGAACAAGACTCTCAGAAAGAGTTTTCATCTTTGAGAGATATTCTTGCATGGAGTGAGAGCCCTTTCTAATTTGCTGGAGCTTTGCTTTTAACATAAGCACTCTGGCCTTGTTTTGGGCACCTGAAATGGCACGAGCTGCATGCCAAAGACCAGCAGAAGAAGTCATACCAATCATCTCAGATGACATGTCAAGTGTCATATAATTAAGAAGCCAACCAAATAGCAACTGATCGGCTGCCACCTAGTCCTCAAAGTCAGGATTTGGCTTAGAAACATCATCTTCAATAATGAACTGAGGGAGACAAACGTTGGTGCCATTAATGAACCCCTTAATTTGTGGCCCTTGATGGTGGGAAGAACATGATGAGACCAAATGGAGAAGTTGGTTTTGTCGAGTTTAACAGAACATGTTTGAGCCAAAGCAGTATTCCTAAAGGAGTTTTTAGGAAGATTGAGAGCTGAAAGAAGGGATGACGAAGAGGAGTGAGACCTGAAGGAAGTTTTTAGAGTGTGAGACCCTTTATTAGCAATGGCAGATGCCTAGTAGCTCTGATACCAAGTAAGGAATTTAGACAAATAAGGAAATTGTTAATAACGAGGCGCATAGAGCCCAATGCTTCTATTGCTTTATATAGTAATAAGACAAAAACCCTAATACAAAAGAATTGTCTAACGGTTTGTACAGATAAGAATAAGGAATCAAAAGACTATAGAGTCCATAAAATATCTACAAAACAAAAGACCTAAAAGACTAAGAACTGGGCCTTCTATTCACTAGGCTTAAGCTGTAACCTTATTTTAGGCTCACTTAGGGATATTTTGACAAACATTCCATTCCCAGTGGGGTTTCATGTTTTCACAATATACGTTAGTAATTTTTTCAAGTTGGGTTAGTGAATTCCCAAATCGCGTTAGTGAATCCCACCTTACAAATTACATTTTTTTATCACAATTAAGGACTATGGTCCTTAACTGAGATTTTAAAATTTCATGGTCCATAATTAGGATTAATGTTCTTAGAGGATCCTTAATTGTCATTCTCCCCTGCTTTTATGGCACTGTTAAAGAAGGCTTGATGGCTGCTGAGAAGTTTATGGGAATGAATATGTGCATTGAGTGAATGGTTTGATCTTTTGAGGCAGTTTCTTGTCCTGAGTGCGAGAGTTTTTGCTAGAACAGGGGTTGGTTAAGTTGTATCTAGTTTTTCTTTTGTTTTGTTGTCTTTTTTGTTATGTAGGTTGTCTTGTAGGTCTTATTTGCTTTCTTGTGTCTGATTTTTGAGTTAAACATAATCGAACATTGTATAGAATAACAAATATGATACAACATATATAATATTGCATAATGTCACATTACTAAGTAATTTTACAATCTTACAACTTGATTTATCAAGCTTTATCTTATACAATATCCCATCAGATAGTACGAATGATGAGGCTAGGTAATTCCTGATATAAATAGATATAGTTTCAGACTTTTTTTAAATAAATCCTCCCATAATTCATGCCACCCAAGATTATATATCTTAATTTGGTGGGCTAACATTAAATTGGACAATTTTTGTTTCTCCCAGGACCACCGTAGTAAAAGTAGACACCCCAATCATTAGAATAACTATAAGAGGTAATATTGTAGCAATTGGGATCGGTGACAATAATGCCAAAGTTTTTAGGAGAGACAAGATTATTATTGGCATCAACAACAGAAATGCCCTTAAAAAAGCTAGCCTTCCCAAAACCTTCTCGAGGAAAATAGCCACTTCCCATCCCAGTCGTGGTGTGTTGCCCGTTAAATTCTTTGTTTGTTATTTCACCGCCCTACTGTACATTTGATGCACTCTCGGACATGTGATTGAACAAAGAAGCTGGCCAGTATCCTACATTTGTACTATTCCCAACTCGCAACCACCAGTTTCCAGTTCCTCGATCCTGCTCAAGCATTTGTACTATTTATAATATTATCACTATAAATATTATTATATTTTTCCATTAGGGGTTTTTGAAGCTTATTATTGGTGATTTGAACAATTGTTTGAATTTCTCAAGGAATATATGTTCTTGCAAAGAAAGAAAGAAGAAATTAATATCTAGTTTTTTTTAGGAGTTAAGTTGTAGTTGAGTTATAAAGTGTAGGGACCAATGGATTAAAAGGCTAAAATTTGAAGACCTAAGTCGTACTGAGTTAAATTGTAATCTAGTTACTTCCTTCAGTAAAAAATGTAAGGTATTTTTAGTCTTTCAAAATGTAATTATTGCTCTTTTTTTTTTAAAGTGCCCCTTTTATATTTATTGTAGAGTGTTTAATAAGGATAAATATGGAAAGATAGGGTTAGTTTGAAAGTATGTAACTACTTTATTGGGGGTGAGATTTTGTTAAAAATGTCTTACATTTTTTAATGAGGGGAGTAAAAGTAAAAGAACTAAATAATTAATTTTTCCATAAAATAAAAAGTACCTTCCAGATAAGGATGGATAATACATATTGAGAACCACCATAGACAGATAATGGCTGTAGGCTGCTTCCTACAGCTACTTTGTTATCAACTTGAACAAAGCCACACGCAAGGTTATAACATCTAGTATGGCGATATGAGTCATTCTGTGGGATGAAAAAGGAATGTATTAAAACAACAGAAATACAATGATGTGAGGAAACAAGAAATTATAGGTTGGTGAGAAGTTTGAACTTACAGTCCAATATGTAAAAAGTCTAGGGTTGTAATCGTTATATATTTCTGGATAGATCTGATTTTTCAAGATCAGGAAACAGTAAATAAGGGAATTAGAAGGACAAAAATTAGTATTTGTTGAAAAATAAATCTATAAAATTGTATTCATCGATCATTCGTACATGTAATTTGGAAGAAATTATGGAATACCTGCCAACCAGCTTCAATGGTCTCAACATTATTAGGATCATCACGATTCACAATCCAAATTTGAGAGAGACTAAATTCATTGGATTGTTGAACATGTGGCTTCCAAATGTTTATAGAAGCATGGCCTCCATAATATCTTTGTCCCCTCAAATCAGCTGCGGCATACTAAAGGCACAGAATAAACAACGAAACAAGAAAAAATATATATTCAATATGCAAAACACACAAACAACCATTTAAAAAAAATAAAGCAAATTACAAGCATTATATTTCAAGATATTGATAACACTATATATATATATATATATATATGGAAAATCGTAGTACCTCGTGGCCATCCAGGGAGTATAATGATCTTCTTATACCAAATTGTTTGATAGAATCTGCCCTCAATATGTCCTCTTTTGTTGTTCTTCTTATAGGAACGGTTCCTTTTGGACAACTTCCACTTTGGTGCCACAATTGAGCAATTGGGTTTGATTTTGAAAAATTGGTCTTTTTTGGATGAAATGTTGGCCTCATCTTCATGGAATAGGATATAATTAGCCCAGAATTGTGAGTTAGAAAATCCAATAAAATAAAAAAAAAAGATTAAGATCAATTGTTGAGTTAAAGACCATTTTTTCCCTAAATGGTTTTTGAAGAGTATTGGGCACCATGTATTAAAGGGTGAAGCAATATCTCCCTAAACAATCTTTTTAAAGAGTGAAATTGCCCTTCTATTGGAAATCCATCATCTTCTTCATAATCTCACAATAACAACAATTCTGACCCATTTGATCATGTGATCTGGGTCTCCTTCTTCCTTGCATTTGCTGGACAATTCTTACTCTACCTTGCATTTAACTAGCAAGTAACTGAGAAATCAAAAGCGAATGTTCAATGTCCTGTACATATCAATGACGAAATTACACATATCAACAATGTCTTCCTTCTCGACAATGTACAGAGACACTTTTATTATATTTAGGGAAAATATAATCTTTGGTCCTTATAGTTTCATTAAGTTTTACTTTTAATTTCTGTAGTTCTTTTTCAATGTTTTCAGTCCCTTTAGGGATTAAAAATATTAAAAAAATGAAAACTACAGAGACCTATAAAGCAAAGGTTATCAATCTTTTTGAAACTACAAAGCTTGAAAACATTGAAAAAAAAAAACTATAAGGACTGAAAAAAAAAAACTCGATAAAACTATAATGATAAAAGATTATGTTTTTCCTTATATTTATGATCAACTTAGCTATTCACAGACCAGAAAAACTCCATCGTCGCTGACTTCAAATGCTAATCGGGAAAGGAAGAAAATTTCAGGACATATAACAAGAAGTTCCTAGATCAAGCTTCAGTTCACCAGTTCGTAGCATCCAAAATGGGGAGCTGGAAGAGGCGAGTTGCTTCACCAAGGTCCAGATTATCAGCTCTTGCCCCCTCTGGGGTTGACTGAAGGCTGAAAAACTCAGTTCGGAGAAAAATACCACGGGGAGAACCAAAACTAGAAACCATTTCGCTTGAATCAAGCTGAATAATATTCATAGGAAAATTCTATATAAAAGCAACAAATTAACAGAAACCTTTGTCGCCGAAAACCCAGAACGGCAAAACCATTACTGATAAATTAATTGATGAAAACAGCTATATTTAGACTAGGAAAAAAGGATGAAAATAACTGTAACCCCATTTGACTTTACTGATAAAGCCACTTCTTTGATGCAATCCCAATTAATTAAAGATATGCATGCATCTTTGATGAAATTCCAGTAAAAGTTTTGACGAAGATCTGCATCTTGCTCATTGTTGTTGATGGAAAGAGTCAGAGAAGAGGGCGATAGAGAAATTGTTAGGCGTGGTTCTCACATAGAGAAGGAGTGTTTGAATGTTGAAAAGATGAGTCGATTATGAGTTGCTTTGAAGATGTACCTAATGGAGAATCCATCGAATGTAGGGGCCAAGATTGAAGAGCCACGAACAGAGAAGGGGATATGAAAGATGGCGAAGAAGAAGAAGAATTGTAGAGAGATGGTGTGAGAAGTGGAGAGGTTGAAGGAAGAAGAAGCGGCAGCAGTAGGGGAGGTAAGCCGGAAAGGAGGAACATGGCGTTGGAGATGATAATGCATAGGTGGAGACCCGAGACCCATCTTCGATAGTTAAGATAATTCAGAATACCTCTGTGCATGGGCCCACAACTATGCCACGATAGCACATAACAGAGAAAATAACAAGTCTCTCATAGAATGGTGCTTTTCTATATAAAAGAATTTAGTGCATAGTGCACAACGCTCTTAAAAAAAAAAAAAAAAAAGAAGTTGGGAGATGGCCTTCAACCGTAAATTATATTTACCTGAATTTTGTGATTTTTCAATGTTGGGTTATCAAAAGCTGGTTGATTTAAGATATGCACGCAGTCGATCATATCACCATCAGGACTCTGCTTTTCATAATACCAAATGTTAAACCAAATACAACATTAACTTATAACATCCAGAAATAATTTCTTCTTAAATACGCTCAAGGACAAAATATAGCATATTGCTTGACTATATCTTCTACTATATTATATAGCCTACAACATTAACTATTCAAAATGCATAAGGTGAAAAAAAATTATTGTTTGGTTTCTGTTTTCAAAAACTATTCCCTGATTTTAAAAGTGAAAAAAATTCAAAAACTTGTTAGAACAAGTATCTTGAGTTTAAATATTTTTAAAACTATTCTCATTTTTTTAAAAAAATAGAAAATAAAAACATCTTAAAGTTATTTTCATTTTATTTTTTCTATTTTCAAAATTAACTACATTTAATTATTGAAAAATAAAGTTAATTTAATTAATTTCTATCATAAACTATCACCACTAACCGTCGACAATCATTACACTTAACTTATTTTTTAATTATAAAATTATTCTTAAATTAATCTAACCAAATAGACTATCATTTTGATTTGATTTGAAGCACAATGATCTGAAAACTATATCACAAAACAGTTTTTAAAATAAAAAATGAGAATAGAAATCACATAAACATTTAATCTCTTTAATTTTTCACGTAAAAGGTCATCTTTCTTCATCGCGAACATTGCATACATGGATAGAAAAGGCCCAAACTAACTTTCTACAAATCTAGTTTTGAAAGAAAAAAAATACTACTAAGAAATTATATATTTAAAACAGAAACTAATCAAGTTTTAGATGCCAGACACACAGATCTAGAGTAGAAGTTAAAAAATGTTGAATATTGTTGAAGTTTTCTTTTATGCAGAAACATTTGAATTAAAATGTTAGTCATAATCAAAACTATTCGAAGAAGTTAAATTCTATACCTTAAAAGACTTAACAGCTGGTTTATTCAACTTCTTCAAAAGCTTCTCTACCTCAAGTTCCTTAGCAAATCCGCCATCGCCAGTGGTGGCCATGGCAAGCACCAGAGACAAGAAGAAGCAGAACACCACACTCACTATCCAACTGATCTTTTCATTTCCTAGTTTCGCCATTGAAAAGCTGAGAAATTGGAAGTAGCAACTAAACGAATTAAAGTTCTCAAGTGGATATCATCATCACTTGATCGTGCACAAATTTATAGGACCATTTATGCTTCTCGGAAATTACTAGATTATCTTCTTTTCCGATCCATATAAATATATATTTTGGACCGAATCAACTGTGGAAAAGCCAAGCCTAATATATAATGCGAGTTCTTCTTTTTCAGCCAATCTAGCCTTTGCTTTCAAGAGCAAGGATACGTGTTTTCTGCCCGCGTTTGAGATAAACAATCCATCACACTGCACCTGATTTTCCCTTTTAAATAAATAATTGTCGGCTTGTTTTAATGAACTGACTTTGACTTTTTCCAAACTCATCTTACTTCCTGCTGGTACAAGAAAAAATTAATCATTAAGATCCTATAATTCTGATTTGGTGTAACTTAATTAGTCTATATATTTTTAACTTGATTAAAACTCAATTCTTCAATTTTAACCTGGATCATCCTCTAACAAGGTCCTTATATATTGATAACAGGATTTGATCTCATGACCTTATTATTAGCCAAATCCTTACCAACTGCAGTAACATTCGTTGGCTTAGTTCTTATAATTTTAATTATTTAAAATATTGATAGCTATATTTTGGAAAATAAAATTATAAAAACTAAAGTTTTTTCCTTGAACCTTAGGGAATAATATTTTAAATTGTTTAAACTATTTGAATTTGAGTTATACTAAGTAAAGATTTAGAAAGTGAGTTTCAACCTAATTAAAGTTATAAGAATTGATTTACACTGAATTAAAATTTAAAAACTAAGTTACAATTAAGTCAAAATTATAAGAACTAAATAATTTCTATAATATAAAATGAAATTTAAACACAATTGTTTCTACTTTCAATACCAAGTTCCTCTATCACAATAAATAAATGTATAATTTAATAAACAATCACATATATTTAACAAAAAATCATTTACTTATGGATGATGGTTAAGTCAAGTGGAAGAAAATAAGTTTGCATTTAGATTAAATTTAAACTTTAAGGCTTGACTTAGTCGTAATTAGTTCTGAAACTCAACACACCTAATTTGTTTTTTCAATTAAGAAAAAATTAACGTTCAAGAATTGTGGTTAGGAAAAAAATTATAATGGAATTTATATCTCAATTATTACTCAACAACATTCAAATATAATTAGATAGTATCGAATCTCAGAGAAATGTATTAAAAAAAAAAACAGAAAAGATCTAGGAAAGTTTGTTGAGGTTGATAGAGACGTGGGAATTGAATTAGTCATTTAATGGTAAACTGAGATGAGAAATGATCGATGATTCATTGAATTTGAAGGTCAACGACTCATTGGAGTTCAATATAAAGCCCTTCATTGACGTCACAGGACACGCTGTTACTAATCTCATGAGAACTAAATAATTGGTGCGCGTTCTTGCTTTCATTGACTTCTATTTTTTCTTTTATTTTCAATTAGTTTGTGATATTCATAAGTAGTATTCACAATTGCTTTCTTATCCGTATGCTCCGTTCAAAGATGAATATAAAATAATCCAGGGAGTTCAAGGTTCAACCACCACAAATATGATATTAAATATTAAGGGAAAATTAATTCGACAGTCCTTAAAGTCTTATCTAATTTTTAATCAGGCCCCCATAATTCTTTTCTTTTAATTGGATTCTCAAAGTTATCACTACTGCTATAGGTGTTAACTCTTTTGCCTTCAAACTCGTACCCTTCGTTTGAATGGTAAGAAAAATAGAGAGAAAGGAAAAAGAAAAAAAAAATATAATTTCTGGAAAACTGTTTGAATCGCGAAAACAACCCCGAAGAAAGCATATTGTTGTAATAGTCAATAGTGGAAACCGTGTGAGGAAAATGACTGTCTCATCTCAGTCAATTAAAACTCAGCCTCTTTCTGTTCTACAATTACCAGGCAACAAACATTTGTATTAAAATGCATTATTCAACAAATATGCTGGAAGATGTACTTTAAGATAAAGCATGAGGAATCGGTCCCATCTTGCCAATAAGTAACTTAAATGTCCACTACTCTGGAAGCTTGTCATTATCGTTCTGTTAGCTCAACTAAACAAATACATGTTTAATGGACCATTAAAACAAATAATCGGATAATTGAATAATTAAAAATAATAAATATATATAGATGAATGAGGATTAAAAAACGAAATAAATATATTAATTCTCACATATATAATTATGAACAATGAAATTCAATTGAATTTTCTATGAGATTATGTTCCTCATTATATTCTACGGGCTTTAAATTCTTGATCCGCAAAATATGATTTCCAGCTCATTTCGATTAATGTAATGATGAATCTAAAATCACATCTAAAAATAAACAAGACGGTAGGCCAATGGTTGAGTTTGGCTGTTTGGATTTGAAGTTGGCATATATCTTCATGTAGCAGATATCTCAATCATCATATAGGTTTTGGAATTTGCAGGAATAGGAGTCCGGTTGACCAAGTAACTATTATAGTGAGCATTAAGTAATATTATCTCAATTCTCAACTCTCAAGGGAACAACATTATTTTATAAAGGTTGATCAATTGCTCAATAATGATTATGATTTAATAACCTGTCTCAATAACCTTAGTAAAATCATTTAATTTCAATGTTTCTGATAATCACACCTAAAATTATTAAAGATAAATGGGCAAATTACCTTCTAAACTTTAAATCTAGTAGCATCATAGATCATAAACTAATTTATTATGCAAATTGTTCTCTCAGCTTTTAAAAACAATGTAAGTTGAGTCCTGTTGTTAACAAAAATTAACTTTGATCGTTAGTTAATTGATGAGAAAATTATAGAAAATGACAAAAAATTACTATAATGGACCCAAAAATTACAAACAAGGGTACAAAAAAATTATAGAAAAAGATAAACAAATTTTTTTGTCATTTTCTATCATTTTATGGTTAACTAACGGTCAAAGTTAATTTTTATTAACAGCATGGGCCGGATTTCACCATTTTTAAAGGTTGAGAAAACAATTTGCATAATAAATGAGTTCAAAGTCTATGGTGCTAATGAACCTAAAATTCAGGGGCTAATTTACTTATTTACCCAATTATTAATTATCAGTTTAACTAAATAACCAAGGAAGACTAGAAATTAATAATAACCAAACTTTTCCCTAAAAAACAAAACGGTACTCTAATCACACTAATAGTATTGATATCTCTTTATTTATTGACATACGTTATGAATGAAAAATAATACCTTAATCCATATGGCATGCTCTTCTTATTATCATAATTAGGAAAACACAATTTTTGGTCCTTATAATTTGCACAAGTTTGCTGTAGCGTTCTATACCTTTTTATTCATTATTCTAGGTCCTATTTTTTTTTTTTGTCGGGAATGGTAGTCCCTCTAATTTCATAGGAACGTTGATATGGTACAAACAGTGTTAATAATGTTGATATATCCTCTAACATTGGCTTGGCCAAGTTATATAGAGCTCTGAAATTAAGTCACCAATTTTTCTCAATTAAAGAAAAGATAAAGGTTATCTCAATTATACTCAACAATATTCAAATCTAATTAGATATATGGTATAGAATCTCAGATAAATGTATTGAAAAAAAATAGAAATAATTTACTTAAGATAATCAAAAGAAAAGAGCTGGGAAGTTTTGTTGAGGTTGGGAGAGAAATTAGAGAATTGTATAGGTCATGGTAAACTGAGATGATAAGAGAATAATATATTTAATTAATATCTATCAATCCTTTTAATTAGGTTTCTATATATTTCATATTCTAGCAGTGTTCTCGCACTTATACTTCATATTTTACTTTTAATAAATTTTGTGCTCAAGTGCATTGGTATGGGGCAAAAGTTCCCTATCATATAGAATTGGGTTAGGGAAGAGTTATATAAGTGAAAAAGACTAATAAACTCAACGCTTTAAGGTTTTGGGTTAAAATATGATATTATACTCATCTATTTGTGTTCTCTTGCAATCATGGGGTAGCTTAGCTATGTTCTTCCCTCTTCTAAGATGCTTTTGAGTACCACTTTCTAGTGTCTCTTCTCTTAATCACATTATATATATATATATATATATATATTTGGAATTTTATAAATGACAAGGAAATTTTCCTGAATTATATAAATGACAATCTGATCTCTCAAAATATCAAAATTCTACTGAAATCCTTAGGAACTTTTTTATCAATAAATTTTAAAGTTAAAAAATTATTTTACCCTTACTGAAAATAACAAGCCCTAGTCACAACTTCTACTTAAAGAATAACAACTTTTATTTTATAAATCGCAAAAATTGAATAAGAAATCAAAACTTGTTAAATGTCATTTTTATTATTAAAAAACAAGTTTTCAAAATCATAAGTCCCTATCACAACTTTTGTTTAACGAATAATAACTTTTGTTCTGTGAATTGCAAGAGTTAAACAAAAAATCAAAATTTATCAAGTGTAATTTCTATTATTGAAAAACAACTTCTAAAAATAACAACTTTTGTTTAACCACATTTTTTTGTTTAAGGAATAATAACTTTTATTCAAATAATCACAAGAATTGAATAAGAAATCACTTGTCAATAAGCATAAAATGGATTTATTGACACAAAAGTCCCTAGGGACTTTAGTGAAATTATGACATTTTAAGAGATCAGATTGTCATTTATATAATAATTTGGAGAGATTTTATTGTCATTTTTCCTTTAATTAAAGCAATTGTTTGTTAAAAGAAGTATGTTTTCCCCCATAATTACATCATACAACATAATCAAACATTGGACAACAAATACGATACAAGATAACATTCATAATATCACAATACATAATATTTCGATCTTATTAAGACTTGTTTTATCAAGCCTTATGTTATACAGTATCCCATCAGGTTAGGGAATTCTACCCATATCACAAATCCTTTATTTCCTTGATGTAAATAGATAGTTTGGGACTTTTTAAATAAAGTCCTCATACTGTTTTAAATAAAGTCCTTATCAAGACTTGCCACCCAATCATAAGGGCTAAGGACAATTTGGGTTTCTCCCAGGACCGCCATAGTAGAAGTAGACACCCGAGTCATTTGAATAGTCATAAGCGGTAATATTGTAGCAATAGGGATTGGTAACGATAATGCCAAAGTTTTTAGGAGAGACAAGATTATCATTTGCATCAACAATAGAAAGCTCCTTGAAAAAGCTAGCCTTCCCATAAACTTCTTCAGGAAAATAGCCACTTCCCATGCCTGTTGTGGTGTGTTGCCCATTAGATCTCAGGTTTATTATTTCACCACCCCACTGTACATTTGATGCACTCTCAGACATGCGATTGTACAAAGAACCTGGCCAGTATCCTACAGATGTATCCCCAACTTGCATCCACCAGTTTCCGGTTTCTGGATCCTGCTCAATCGTTATTATTTTCATTACCATTATTATTATATTTTACCTAATAGCGGAATCATATGACATTGTGCCATTAGGGGTTCTTTGAAGTTTATTAATTGTTGATTTCAATTGTCTGGATTTCTCAAGGAATATATGTTCTTGCAAAAGAAAGAAAGAAAGAATTAATATATAGTTTTTTAGGGGTTAAAGTGTAATTGAGTTATAAAGTGTAGGGACCAATGGATTAAATGGTTAAAACTTGAGGACCTAAGTTGCACCTAAGGGTGTTTAAAACCGATCCACTGATTACACCAAGCTAAATAGAACCATACCGACATAAATTGACTAAAACTGATTATAATTAAGGTCTAGTTCAGTTTTTATTTTGACAAAATTGACTGATTTGGTTTAGTTCAGGTTTTTATCTCTTGAACCAAACCGAACCAAGCTTTATTATAATTATTTTATATATTTTTATAAATTTTATAAACATTTTTTCTTGCCCAAATTTAGTTATCTATAAATCACTAGTCAAAAATATGTTACAATTAGTTTAATTTGTCTATAAGTTTTTATGACAATTTTAAAATTGTATAATTAAGTGTTTTTAAGGATAACATATTACCATTAGTTTTAAATATTTAAATGTGCTAAAAAATTGTTAAAGAATATTCTTTTGGTCTCAAGAGATTTCTTTCATTGAAAATACTAACTAATAATTAAACATTAATAGCAAACTTTCATATATATATATTGATCAAGAAAAATATCTATAAAAAAAAACCTCAAACTTGACCCAAACCTAAACCAAACCAAATCAAATCACTCAAAAAACTGAACCAAATTGATTAAAAGAAAAACTGAATAGTTCTCAAGCTTTGGTGAAAGGATTGATTTGGTTTGGCATTTCCTCAAAATTGAATCTATGAACACCCTTACTCGCACTGAGTTAAACTTCAAGGAAGAATGAGTTCTAACCTAGTTAATACCTTCCTGATAAGGATGGATAATTCATTTTGAGAACCACCATAGATAGATGGTTCTAGGCTGCTTCTCACCGCTACTTTGTTATCAACTTGAACAAAGCCAGGCTGGCAATTGAGATTATAACATCTAGTCTGATATGAGTCATTCTGTGGGATGAAAAAGGAATGTATTAAAAATAATATAACAATAATTAACAACACAAATACAATAGTTTGAGGAAACAAGAAATTCTAGGTTGGTAATAAATTTGAACTTACAGTCCAGAATGTAAAAAGTCTAGGGTTGTCATCCCCATATATTTGTCGAGAGATCTAATTTTCCAGAAGCAGTAAATCAAGGAATTAGATAGAAAAAAAGTTGTACTGATTGAAAAAAACGTATGAAAATGTACTCATCCATCGGGCGTTCGTACATGTGAATTGAAAGGAATTATAGAATACCTGCCAACCAGCTTCGATGCTCTCAACATTATTAGGATCATCACGATTCAAAATCCAAATTTGAGAGAGACTGAATTCATTGTATTCTTGAACAGGTGGCTTCCAAATGTTTATAGATGCGTGGGCTCCATAATATCTATCTCCACTCAGATCAGCTACGGCATACTAGAGGCACCAGAACCAACAACGAAACAAGAAAAAATATATTCAATATGAAAAGCACCAAACAAGCATTTCCTTAACCAAAAAAAAAATGAAGCAAACTACAAGCCTTATATTTCAAGATATTGATAATTAACGCTACATATATATATATATATAAGGAAAATAGTAGTACCTCGTGGCCATTTGTAGAGTATAATGATCTTCTTACACTAAATTGTTGGATAGAATCTTCCTTCAGTATGTCATCTTTTGTTGTTCTTCTTATAGGAACGGTTCCTTCTGGACAACTTCCACTTTGGTGCCACGTTTGAGCGATTGGGTTGGATTTTGAAAAATTGGTTGTTTTTGGATGAAATGTGGGCCTCATCTTCAAGGAATAGGACACAATTGGCTTTAAAATTGCGTTGTTAGAAAATCCAATAAAACAAAAAAGACAACTTATTAAGATATATTATTTTACCTGAATTTTGTGATTTTTCAGTGCTGGATTATCAAAAGCTGGTTGTTTTAAAATATGAACGCAGTCAATCATATCACCATCAGGGCTCTGCTTTTAATAATACCAAATGTTAATCCCAATATAATAGTAAATTATAATTAAAAGCCAGAAATAATTTCTCTTAACTATACTCAGACAAAAAGAAATAGCATATTGCTAGATTATATCTTTTATTACATATGTAGCTTAGATCATTGATAACTAACAATTTTATATATTTTTATTTTTTTAATTTAAATTTTTAAATATTTATTTGAAACTAAATGAGTTTAATTAGATATTATTTAATTTTATTAGCTAATATTCAGCTTTTGAATTTTAACTATTAAATCTTTAATTTTAAAATATAAATGATATCTTTAATATTTTTACACAGTTTCTATTTAATTTTATTTTATTTGTGCAGATATTTTAGACCGAATTTAAAAAATATTAATAAAGATTATTTTAGATAAGAAGAATATGGGCATGCTTGAAAATTAAATTAAAAATTAAATTTTTAAAATTTTATTTAAATTTATTTTGAATTATTTAATATAGTTTTTAATTAAAGTTGTTTAAAATAGTTTTATCATTTTATTATTAACTTTTCTTTTACGGTACGAACATGCGCGCAACACTATTTATATATATAAAGAAAGCCGCGCCGGATAGGAGATGAAAAGATAAATATATGTGTGTGTATATAAATGACGACTTGGACGGGAAAGAAGAAAAGAGGGGTAGCAGCGACAGCGGTTCACTTTTCTTCAATTCCTCTAATAATGGTTTGTCAATTTTTCATCTTATATTTTTTAATTTTTAGTTTTATGAATAGTTAATTTTTTTGGTATGATTAATCACAAATTATGATTCTAAATTTTAATCAGAGTCTTTGATATTCAAAAATGATTTTATTCTAGCTTTATTTTAATTGCTCTGCTTCTCTTTACCTCTAAATTTTATACTTTAACTGCTATTGTTGATTAGAGTAGCTTTATTGCATAATTTTTGGTTATAAATTATATCTGAGGTTTTACTTATTATAATCAATTGATATAGTAACTTAAGAATAATTTGGCCTAACTTGAATAATTACTCATGCTTTGTTTTTGGTGTGGCTAACATAAAACAGTTGTTAGGTTGTGGGTCAAAGAAGATCTTAATTAATCTAGAACTTAATTTATTGTTTAATTCTTGAATGATGATTTGAGAAATAAATAATAAAATCAGAATAATAAAGTTAAATAAAATTAATTTAATTTGTGGATGAGGAAGATTAAATTTAGGTGATTGAGTTGTGATTGATTGCACTACTTGTTTTATAATTTTCTTAGTTGAATTTTCTCTATTTATTTAATTCTAATTTAGTTTTAATTTCATCATAAAAAAACCCCCCATTATTTACCTTTTCATGATCATAATTCAAATAGTTACTCTATTGACTCTTAGAAAGACGATCTAGGTTGTGTTTTACTATAAAATTTAATTTTTATTAATTTTAATATTATTCGACAGTAGTGTGAAACATTAATTGCCAAATACATAAGAAACGATTTAATATCTTTAATTCACATAAAAGGTTGTCTTCGTTCTTCACCTCCAACATCTCAAACATGGATAGAAAAGACACAAACTAACTTTCTACAAATCTAGTTTTGGAAAATAAAATAGAAAAAAATAATTTTAAGAAATTAGATATTAAAACAGAAACTAAGCTGTAGAAGCCAAATTGTAAGCATACACAGACCTAGAGTAGAAGTTAAAAAGGGTGACTAGTGTTGAAGTTTTCTTCTATGTAGAAACATTCGAATTAAAATGTGAGTCATCATGAAAAACTAGTCGAAGAAGTTAAATTGTATACCTTAATAGACTTAACAGCTGGTTTATTCAACTTCTTCAAAATCTTCTCAACCTCAAGTTCCTTAGCAAATCCACCATCGCAAGTGCTGGCCATAGCAAGCACCGAAGACAAGAAGAAGCAGAACACCACACTCAATATCCAAGTGATCTTTTCATTTCCTAGTTTCGCCATTGAAGCTGAGAAATGGGAAACAAGCTAAGTAAGTACCTAAACGAAAGTTCTCAAGTGCATTTTCATCAAGACTAGATCGTTCACAAATTTATAGGACCATTTATGCTTTTTGGAAATTGAAGAAATAATTGACTTAAGAAAGTGAAAGGTAAAGAGCAAGGAAAGTTTGTTGACGTTGTGAGAGACATGAAAATTGTATTGGTCAGGGTAAACTGATATGATAGGTATATGATCCATTCATTGAATTTGAAAGTCTTCGACTCGTTGGAGCTCAATTAATGTCGTTCACAGGAATTACAGGACACGCCGCAACCATGTACCTTTCTTTCACGTAGTTGCAGACTTATAAACGGTGTGATTCACACACAAACACAAAATTTTCTTAGCTATATTGTCTAAATGCCAGTGGACTTAATCAAATATGAAAACTTAGGCCTATTTGATTTATGTTTTCATTTTTTATTTTTAAAAATTGTTTTGCAATACATTTTTTAAAATTGTTTTTCAAAACAAAACAAAAAGAAAACATGTTTAGTTGTGTTGATTTGAAAACAGTTTTAGAATTAAAAAAATCAGCGACAATGATGGTGATTGACAATTAATGATGGTAACTTATGATAATTACTAGTAAAGGTAACTATAATTTTTAATAATCAAATACAATATAGTTTGAAAACAAGAAAATACAATGAAAATATTTTCAAGATGTCTTTTTTTAAAATAAAAAATGAGAGAATTTTTTAAAATAATTAAATTCAAAATACTCATTCAAATAAGTTTTTAAAGTTTTTGTTTTAAAAATAAAATATTGTTTTTAAAAACATAAACCAAACAATCTTTTGATAATTGTTTTTTAAAAATTTAGTTACTGCAAAATGGAAGAAGGATTATTGAATTTAGAAATTTAGTTGTGAAGAAATCATAATTTCACGTTAATTCGTTTACAAGGTTTTTGTTTATCAATTTTCCAAAAGAAAAAGACTCGAAGAAAGCATATTTATTAGTCAATTGTGGAAACCGTGTCATGCGAAAAAAGAAAGATCGTGGGAAACCGTGTGAGGAAAGTAACTGGGTGTTAATGAAGTGGCTTGGCATGAAGGACGACTTTTGATGACCAATCAACGCAAAGATTTTCTCAAGTCACAGTCAATGCCATGAAATGGACGGAGTTGGTGGGAAGCGCTCCTCTCCACCTCACTGTCCAAATTATTGAATTCGTTTAAATTTAATTTTTTAAAAATAAAATCATATAAATTTTAAAATTTTTTAATAAATTTATTTACTTGATTATATAGTCAAAATTTAAATTAAATGATTCATATTTAATATCAAATGTTTTATAAATTAACTTTTTAAATATATTTAATATAAAATTTTTTTAATAAATTTGTTCACCTGTCTGTATAGTCCAGATTTAAAGTAAATAGTTCGTATTTAATATTAAATATTTTATAAATTGACTTTTTAGATATATTTTGAATAGTATAGGTTTAATATTAAATTTTTTATAATTTTTATGAATTGAATATGAATTATTCATATGAAATCTAAATTATCCAAACTGGTAAACAAATTTATTAAAATTTGTATAATTTTTTATTTTCAAATACATAAAATAAAAAATTAAATTTGGAAGGTCTAAATTTCAAATTTAAATCTGGATGGTCCAAATTTAATGGGGGTTTGAAGAAAGGGAGGGTGGGAGGAGGGAAATCAAGTTCAAAATGGACTCAATGCTCCAATCCCTCCCTGAAACGGAACAACGATAATGAAGAAATAAAAGAAATGTGTGAAAGAGTAGAAACCATCATCCGTTAGGTCACCACCATTAATGCAAATGATAAAACATTTGTAACTTGGCATTTACTTCCTTTGCTCTATTTCAAACTTAGAATAGTATAAATAGCATAATGTTTTCGTGTACTGGATCTCAAATTGAAAGCATTAAACAAGAGTTTGTTTCTCACTCAATTTTTAAGCCATTTTGGTATCAGAGATGGTCCAGAAAGCGAGAGAGTGAGGAATATCTGGGGGATTATGTTGGAGAAGAGAAATTCAGAGGAACAGTCCCTAACATCTTCACGTTTTACAATCCAGGCATTTTTTCCAAAAACTTATATCACCATCTTACTAAGGAAGTTTGAAAAAGTGGAATAGGAGGTTTCTTGTAACCGTACGACATCGCACGCCCCTTTATGCGCCACTTATCAGAGTTCCACATGCCTCACTGTCAATACATGCGTTGCAAATGCCATTTGCAAGTTGAAGATGATGACATCACCTAACACGTCAACATTCTGACCAGTCAACAACAAGTCAACCTAGTCATTATCTATCATGTGTCACAAAGCCATGTCATCTTGCCCCAATCAGTCATCTTTTTTGAATTTATAGTTTGACCCCTAAACCTTTCCATATTTCCATATTGCCCTAAACTTTCTAAAATTTCATTTTTGACTCCTATATTTTCCCAAAAACACACTTTGACCCCTATACTTTCTAAAACTTCCATTTTTACCCCTATATTTTTTGAAATCCCCATTTTTCCCTTAAACTTCCAAAATCCTCAACCTGCCCCTATATCCTTTCAACATTTCCATTTACTCCTTTATCTTTCCAACATTTCCTATTTGCCCTTAAATCCACTAAAATTTCCACTTACCTTAATTTTTTCCTAGAAATTCTTTATCCTAGCCTTAACACCTATCAAAATGCCTTTAAGGCACAAGAGTGTGCATAAGGTTGAGATGGAAGAGATGAGACAAAGGATATAAGAGTTGAAAGCTACTACGAAAATGTAGCGAACTCTGTTAAACGATAATAGAGAAAACCCAAAAGGAGATTTAGGGAGCAGCAATTCATCATCCATTGACAACCGTCGCCATCCACGACAACAATAATTCCATTCTAATGACATCAAGGTAGACATTCTTGAATTCAAGGGAAGACTCTAGCTAGACAAGTTTATAGACTGGCTTCAAACTGTTAAATGAGTATTTGAATATAAGGAGATTTCATATGCACATAATGTAATGTTCACCTTAACATTACTAAGACAACACTTTTACACGCTATTATGATAACCAAGATTAAATAAAATCTCAAGAGTTATCACAACCCAATGTTTTAAAAGGTAATTAGTTTTAAACAATGGGATCCTAATAAAATCCTTTTTAAAAAATATTGTTTGAGCTTAAACTATAGTTTGAAATCAATCAAATATGATAATAGAAGCATGAAAATCATAAGCCTCTAAAAATAAGATAATAAAATATGGAATGTTTCTAAAAACTGGCCCGTTCGCCGTGATGTAGGCCTCACTCACCGCTGTGGATGGCACAAAGGAATGAGTCCCTTTGCGAGCATTTGCACCATAGTACGCACCTACTGTCATGACAATAGATTGTTGTCATGACAGCATTCTAAACTTTTGAAATGCGCCATTTTGCCATCCGACATCTAATTTAAGTGATTCAAGTGTTCACACGTAGCTCTTCGAGCCCCCTAGCTAATGGCATCAATCTCACACTCAAATAATCATCCGTTAAAAAAATAGAAACCTAAACCCAAAATGATTCATTTTCACTTCAAAATACTTTCAAAGGTGTCCAAAACACACTATCAATTGCTATTAGTTAGGGAATTACTTTGACTACATCAAATAGATCATACACAACATAACAAGTTAATTATATCACACAAGTAAGCATTCATACTCAAAATGACAACCAAACTCCTAATTCGCAACAACACAAAGGGGTAGATAAAACTTAAAACATATATCGATTTGGTCATCTTGATGCATAAATCACTTGTAAATGTATCTTGGCCAAGCACACTCATTTAATCACAATAACATCAATCTTGAGCTAAGATACGCACATTTTACATATTCTTATACAAGTGATAATAAAACAATGTCATGTTCCTAAGTTGGCATTATATAATAGCAATATTCATTACAAACCCAAAAAGAAGAAAGGGAAGAGTTATACAACAATGCTCTTCACTCTTTAGTTGTCCCTTCCTTCCCCTTGCCCCTACCAAAGCCATTACCTGTAAAATATAACTACGAGGTGAGATAAACATCTCAATAATAGAATAATTTATTACTATTAATTAACATGCACAACCATAAGGGAGTAAAGCTATTAAGCACCAAAACATACTTTAACATAGTTCAAGATAGTCTTTTTCATTTACTCTCTAACATATTTAACAATTCTTTTTTATAAACACAAGTCATTTACCACTAGCATGATCATTATACCATCCAATCCTCCATATCACTCCGACTGAAACCACAAGCTCTTGAACCAAGTGCCCATTCATAATGATCTGAGATCACCTTCAATGGTAGGATCACTCGGGCAAAGGCATCCTATCCTACTTCCAGACTGTGGTCTCCCCCTATCATACAAGAATTAAGGTGTCGTTGCTCCAACACTGCATTACTAATACTAAGGAGCATCACTCTCCAACACTATATCCCGCATGGATATTAAGGAGAAAATCTCTAACACTGTGCTTTACTAGACACTAAGGAAATACATGTCATATAAACTTTTACTACTCCTTCCTATAGGTGAACTCCCACCTCCTAACATGATCATGCTCATACTTTCCATACATTTTACATACTTATGAAAAATCACTATCTTTTTCACACAATGACTCAAAAATCTTTATTATTTCAAAAGTAGTTTCTAATGCATAAAGAAAATTATCTTTCACAACATGCCAAGCTTTTGAAACACATGTAAGTAAATATACATATCTACTCACAAACAGTTAAGTAATACAATCAATTAGTGTAAATTATTCCGTTACCTCAACCCTTTGTCACACAAAGGGTTATCATGGCTCAACATTAGCTCTACACATTTTATATGCATGATGAAGCTCGAGCAACACTCAATCTATATAATCAAGTGACAATTGTCAATTATCACCCTAGATAAACCCTGAATTTTTTAGGTTCTAAGTACCCACAACACTCA